TGAGACCTGGCCATGGTCTTCCCAGCAAAATCAACCGCAAAAAAGCAGGCTGCTAGCACAGACACTAGACTCCTGACTCCCATTCCAGTGCTCTTTCTATTATAATAAATGTGGAAGCCTAAGTAGAATCGGCTCTCAGGACTGCTTATGAATTTAAAATTATATGGCCAACCTCTCCCACTGACCAGAGAGGCCAGGTATGTAAAGACTGCAGTATATGAAGAGGTTGCAGGTAATACCTGGCAGAGACATCTGTAAAGAGAGCATTACAGGCTAATAACAACAGAAGGCAGCTAGGTGGCACAGTGGATAGGGCAGTGGGCCTGGAGTCAGGAGGACCTGAGTTCAAATGCCACCTCAGATGCTTACTAACTGTGTGACCCTAGGCAAGTCACTTAACTCTGTTTGCCTCAGTTTCCTTATCTGTAAAATGAACTGGAGAAGGAAATGGCAAACTACTCCAGTGTCTTTTCCAAGAAAACCCCAAATGGGATCATGAAGAGTCAGTTATAACTGAACAACAAGTAGCAGAAGTCTTCCCCCCCCCAAAAAAGGATTATAAATCAATTAAAATTAGAAGTCTTAAGGAAGCTTGAGGCAGCTGGAAAATATTTCCAATTGTATCATGTAAGTCAATGGGGAAAAAATAGGATTTGATATTCCAAACATTGATTTGTGTGGATTGAGGAGTATGTGTATAGTACATTCCATCATGTCTTTAGCAGGCAGATGTCAAGCATCAGAATTGAAATTAGAAGCTGATGTCTATAGTTAGCTCCTGTTCAGCCTTGTATGGCATGGGGAGACAAGGAAGTGCTAAATGGATGTCGTCATTGGCAGCCCTGAGAGCTCATCCTATTTGGGCTTTACTTTTGCAGATTAGAGTCTTTGAATAACAGGTTCACACGCACAAATGTTTTTTTCAAAATCATTGTGAAGTGTAGAAATGAAATCATCTGTGGTCATTACAGGCTGGCATAAGCAAAGTGTGATTTGTGGTTGTTATTTGTACTCAAGACAAAAATCTCAGACTTCCTTTGAAAGAATGAGCCAGATAATTCAGGTAAAAGCATTCCAGCCCTCCCTTAGGAGCACCCTATATAGGCTGATGGAAATCTCCTTTCACTGGTGATAGACACTGATTATTCTGTTCTTGTAACACCCTCCCCTAATGTAGGTTATAAAGGAGTAGTTTGATGGGAGAAAAGGAAGTGAATTCAAAGGAATAAATTTCGAATAATAGCCTGTCTGGAGAAATCTCTATTTGGAATCTTCCAATGACCATCTAGATGTTGTTTAAACTAGAAAAACAACTATAGCCACCCAAATCATGCAGTGGAGAGATGGCTAGGTCTAGAGGCATTGGACCTGCCACTTACTACCTATGGGACCTTGGAAAACACATCAACTTTTTAGGCCTGTTTTGTCAGTATCTAAAGGGTACTTGATAGAGTATAAGCTCATTGAGGGCAAAGACTGTTTTGTTTCTGTCTTTGTATCCTATGTCTAGTGCACATACTAGGTACTTAGTAATTGCTTGCTGATTGACTAGGTGACCTCAAAAGTCCCTTCCAACATTAAATCTATGATCTCAGGATATTATATGCATGAACTGGTTGCCTCATCAGATGCACTGTAGGAGGAACTCCTGTACTTGAGTGATCAGTTGGACTGTATGCCATCTAAGGTCCCTGCCGATGCTTGAGATTCTATGATTAGCCTTGAAATGAAAAGAATGAAGTGATTACTAAATAGGTAACTCATGTTTGCTGCCCTTTTTCTTCTTTCCTTTAAAAGTCACTAAAGCAAAGTTCTCTAAGCCAGAATGTCATCTTTTTGGAGGGGTTGGGGTAGGGACTATTGCTCCCTATCTCATCCGGCTAGAAAATCAGTGGCCACTTACAGGCCTAATACCTCCTTCCTGAACTCCTGATTGGTAGTGAAGCTTTAATCTGCTCTGTTTCCAACCTGGGCCAATTTGTTCCTCCTTGGGCAGCCTGATGGCCCTCTGCAACCAGGGGCTTATTAGTGCTAGACTTAGTGCAGAAACCCGATGGGCTTTAGCCCCACTGCAGTTCAGAACTCCTGAGCTCCTGCAATCCACCAACCTCAGGCTCCTTAGTAACTAGGACTACAGGTGTGTGCTCACAATCACTTTCTAATGGACTCATTTTTAAAAAAAATCTATTCTACTCATTACCAGTCAGAGGTAACTTGAGAGTTGTGTTCCTGATAGTTCCCTTTCAAAGTCCCCTAAAGATTGTCTGTGCAGGATTGATCTAGTAATATTTCCACACATGAGCTGAAATACATACAAGGAATAGCCTTCACATGGACTTCCTCTGACATTTATCCATAGAAGAATTTTCTTTCACTGTGTATTAATCTATAAACCAAACCAAGTCTTTTAGAAATCTCACAGAAACAGCAAATTATAGTCAGAAGAGACCTCAGCAGCCATCTAATTCAAATTGTACCTGGATAGGATTTCCACTGTAGTATACCAATGTGGGTGGCTGAGTGGTGTGGTGGATAGAGTGCTGGGTCTGGAGACAGAAAGACCAGAGTTCAAATCTGGCCTCAAATACTTATTAGCCCTATGACCCTGGGCAAGTCACTTCACCTTTTTGCCTCAGTTTCCTCATCTGTAAAATGAACTGGAGAAGGAGATGACAAACCACATCAGTATCTTTGCCAAGAAAAATCCAAATGGGGGTCACAGAGAGTCAAGCACGACTGAAACTATTCAACAACATTACCTATGTGGTCATCTATCTTCTGTTTTCAGTCTTCCTTCATTGAAAGAAACTATTACCCTCTAATTTTACTTGAAGAAAGCTAGACTTTTTTAGGTTTTCCTGTAATTAAGTTAAAATTTGTAATATCTACCCATTATTTTTGGTTTTGCCCTGTAGGGCCAAATGGAATAAGTCTAATACTTCTTCCAAATGATAACCCTACGGAGTCTTCTTTTCTTGACTAAGTGTCCCTAGGTCCTTCATCAGATTCTCTAAAGGCAGGGACTCAGGGCCCTTTGTCACCTTCATTCTCCCCCATGGATGTTCTCTGATTCATCAATGTCCCACCTAAATGTATTGCCTAGTAGACAGAGGGGAAAGTCTTAACTAAAGAATTAAATAAAATGCATTCATACATAGCATAGATCCTGACAAAAAAAATGTCAGTTTTTAAATACATAGAAAAAGGAGGGGTCTTTTCCTTCCGGACAAAAATAACAAGAGATGAATGGAACCTGGTTGTTTTTTAGTCTACAATCTGACCTTTTAAACAAAATTGTGAGCACAGTCGTGCCAGGTCTGAGAACAGCAAGGGGTACATAGATTAATGACCAGTCTTTCCAGTCACCCTGGAGGCTGGAAACCTGCGAGGAATTTGGCTCTTGCTATGAATACCTGTTCCAGGAAGGAATCTACCACAGCGACACTTACAGCAGAGGCCATTCAATAACTTGGTGGAACTTAAAAACAACAACAACAACATTACCACAGCAACAGATTCAACAAGAGGGAAGAACATGGCTTTTCAGAGAACTCTGCACTGCACCATTTACAATAAGGGAGTTAAGAGTCGTTAGCTTTGATTTCTCTGCTACGAAAGAGGAGTTAAAGGTAGGGTTTACTCAAGGATGGCAACTACCTTACTCTTCCAGAAACTATCCTTAAACCTGAATCAAATGCTGAATTTGGGGCCAGATAGACCATTGGTCTGAGTCTGCTGATGTAGGTATTTCTTATGTTTGGACATACAGAAAACTTTCAGATTGTGAGGTGAAATGTCTTAGTTGGAAGGAAGGAAGGGAGGGAAGGAGGAAGGAAGGAAGAAAGAAGGAAAGAAGGGAGAAGGAGGGAAGGAAGGAAAAAAGAGGGAAAGAATGAATGAAAGGAGGGAAAGAAAGGAAGGAAAGAAGGATAAAGATAGGGAAGAGAGGAAAGAAGAAAGGAAGAAAGAGGGAGGGAGTATAAAAGAAAGAAGGGAGGAAACAAACATTTAAGTGCCTGTTATGTGCCAAGCACTATACTCTGAACTTTAAAAATCTGATCATTTGATCCTCACAACAACCCTTAAGTAGGTGCTATTATTGTCCCCATTTTACAGTTGAAGAAACTGAAGCAGACAGGTGTGTTAAAATTGTATCTTGTTCTGGTCCCCCTGACCACCACTCCCCCTTCTAGTTAGTATAATAAGTAAGGTTATAAATCACTAGTGTGAAGGAGCAATGGCAGGAAATAAGACTGCAAAGGGGAACCTGGAAGTCACGTACAAACTATCCCAAAGATCAAAGGAGCGTAATTTACAAACTGTATCATGTATTAATTGAAATTCACATCCTGGTAATATGTGCTGAATCAGCTGAAGCCACCTAGGCATGGCCTGTCAAGGTTCTTATCCTGTAATATGTAAGATCCAGAAGGAATCCAGACCTTCACAGTTCTGGGGCAACAGAACATCAAATGGTACTATAATTTAGAGATGTAATTTTGAAGTTTTATTGATAATTCTGAGATGATTTGGGTATGTTAATGAGCTAACCCCAAGGTGGCACAAATAGGAGTTGGCCTGTTCCCTCTCCAAAAAAAAACCATATAAAAATGAGACCTCAAACTCCTGTCATCTCCCCAAACACTCATGCATTGGGTCCATGCTACCAAGTGCTCCCAACTCTAAGTCATTATTTGTTTTTATGGTTTTTTCAGTTGTGTCCAACTCTCTGTGACCCTATTTGGGGTTTTCTTGGCAAAAGTACTAGAGTGGTTTGCCATTTCCTTCTCCAGCTCATCTGACAGATGAGGAAACTGAGGCAAATAAGGTTAAGTGATTTGCCCAGGGTTACACAGTTAGTGAATATCTCAGGCCGGACTAGTTTGGTTTCTGAGATCTATACAAGTGCCCATACACTTATACAGCCTTTCATAGCCAGAGACTTAGATAGAACTATCCCAAACTGAAAATACCTCCCCTCAAGGCCCATCTTATGGTACCTTTTTCCATGTCACTCCTGATCTGCTCCTCCAGGTCCTCTGGGGACACATAGACTTCTCCTTCCCCTCCCTTTGGGGACTTGGGCCGACAGTGTCCGCAGCAGCAGTTACAACAGCAGCAGAGGCAGCAGCAAAAGTAGCAACCCGTCAAGATGCCAAAGAGTACAAAGAGGGTCTGCAGGAGACAGAGGAAGAGAAGGAAAAATTCCAAAAGAAATCATCGGAGTCACAGGATCATAGATTTAGGGCAGGAACGGAACTTGGAAGTCACCTAGTTCAGTCCCTTGACTTTACAAATAAGGAAAATGAGGTCCAGATAATAGGCATTTCTATAGCACCTACTATGTGCCAGATACTATGCTAAGCACTTTATTTGATTTATTTATATATTTGATTGATTTATTTATTTGATCTTCACAACAACCCTAACTAGGGCAAATAGTGGTTAACTGACTTGCTCAGGGTCTCATAGCTAGTATCTGAGGCTGGATTTGAATTCAGGTCTTCCTAACTCCAGGCCAAGCACTCTATCCACTGAACCACCTGACTTAGTGACTTGCCCAAGGACACACAGGTAGTAAGTCAGCAACAGAGCCAGGTTTTTGAGCCCAGGCCCTGTGGTTTCAAGTTCAGAGTTCTTTACCACCATGCTGTGCTTTCAGAATACCACTGAGTTGGGGATGTGTAAATTACTAGCATTGGCAGAAGTCTTAGAAATAATGAGAATAATCTACATAGAGAGGATTAGGGACACGGCACCACCTCAATCTGGAAAGTCTACACAAAATTTTTTAGTACCAGAGAATAAGTCTGACTTATTATGGTATTAAAAGATAAAACATGTTGATGTTATACAGTACTAACATATATTTTAGTTTCGAAACTTTTTCTGAGTTGTCTGCTGGCCTTCGAGTTTCATCTTCCACAAAACTCTCCAAAAATTCCCATGCAATTTCTCATGCCAACCCAGGATATATCAAAATATGATGGGGAAAGTGATAATGCTAGCATTTACCCAGACTGTCACAAAAGCTTGGGACACCCTGTAGATCACTTTAAGACTTGCAAAGTGTTTTACACGTGTCATTTCATTGGATCCTCACAACCCTATAGATGCACTGATTATTTTTTGCATTTTACAGATGAGGACACCGAGTCTAAGGTTAAATGACTCGCCCAGGGCCACACAGCTACAAAGTAGAAATCCTAGATCTCAAGGTGGAAGGGGCCTCACAGATGAGGAAACTGAGGCTTGCAGGGTTATAAGTGACTTGCCTAAAGTTGCACAGGTAATAAGCCACAGAGCCAGGTTTTAAACTCATCTTGAGATTCCAGGCTCAGCATACACTCTGATGCCAGAATCCCCCAGAGCTGGGAGAAGGTTTCAGAAATTGCCATATTCATAGTTTGCCTATCATAAATTTGCTGTCCCAGACCACCCACCTCCCCTACCATCCTCAGCCTCACCCCTTCCACCCAGTAAAAGAAACCATAGATACTAGCATCCTCTGGAAACATGTATTTCTCATCTTAGAACATAATTAATAGCATCCAAATACCTCTGAACTGAGATAGCTGTATCTCATCTCCTCAGAGATGTGCTGGCAAACGCATCTGTAGCTCACATGCACATACATCCATACGTGTATGTATACTCCACTATAGTTTTCACACAGTTTATCCCCCTTTGACTGGACCCTGAGCTCCACCTGCTAAAAATCTTTTTCTGCCTTCAAGGCCCAGCTCAGGTTACATCTCCCACAAGAAGCCTTTCTAGACCTCAAATCCTCTCCTGTCCAGCTGAAAGTGATCTCAGATTTCCGTTAAAACATAAAACACTTGGTGTGAGTATCTCCTTTACCCTTATCACGTTGTACCTCATTTCACACTCATTCATTGGTACACACACACAGTTTCATCCTTTTAAGATAAGACACTTAAGGGGACAGTGTTGCCTTTTTGTTTCCCAGTGCCCAGTAGGTTACCTAGGGTGGGCACTTAATAAATGTTTTTTTCCAAAGTAATTGAGTTGTTCTTGCCTCTCCTAGTCCAGATAGCAAGAGAAGCTGCAGGCATTTAGTTCTTCTAAAAACAATGTAATCTGTTCCATGTTCTTCAAATTTTCTTGTAAAATTTCTTTATATCTAGGTCATGTATCATGTATTTATCTTGGTAAATGGTGTAAGATTTTGGTCTATGCCCAGTTTCTACCATACTGCTTTCCAGTTTTCTCAACAATTTTTACCAAATAATGAATTCTTATCCCAAAATCTTAAGTCTTTGCATTTGTCAAATACAAGGTTATTATATTTATTTGCTGCTGTAAATTGTACATCTACTCTGTTCCGTTGATCTACCTTTCTATTTCTTAGCCAATACCATATAGTTTTGATAATTACTGCCTTATAATTTGAGATTTGGTGGTACTAAACCTCCTTCCTTTACACTTTTTCGTTAGTTCTTTTGATATTCTTGACTTTTTTGTTCTTCCAAATGAATTTGTTGTGATTTTTTTCTAATTCAGTAAAATAATTTTTTGGTAATTGAATTGGGATGGCATTGAATATATAAATTCATTTAGGTAAAATTGTCATTTTTATTATATTGGTCCTGCCTACCCATGAATAATTAATATTTCTCCAACGATTTAAATCTGATTTTATTTGTATAAAAAGTTTTGTATAATTTTATTTATACAGTTCCTCGGTTTATTTTGGCATAAATAAATAAGTTTAAATTTAAAAAAAAAACAACATAATCACAGAGGAAATCAAAAAGCCCAGTTAAAAAAATTTTTGAAGTATGTCTGGTCATTATGAAAAGCCATAGACTAGAATAAGTCAACCAGCCCCAGGTTTGTTTGGTACCTAACAAAAGAGAATTGCTCTCCCCAAAGGATAAGAATGTTAGAACTCCAACCAGCTTCACCAACTAGCCACACAAATAACAGGGCCAAAACACCAAGACAGGAAATTGGGAGATAAAATTCACTCTCCCTTTTTGACTTGTGGATGATTCAGCTGAAGCACGTCTTGGTAGGTAGGAACAACACGCACTTACACAGACAGGGGCATGGCTAGGTGAATAGGCTTATTTTCCTGAGAGTGGGTGACAGTGTCAATGATGCCAGGCCCCCAAAGACAACTCTGCAAAGGGACTTTACTCCAGGCCGCTGTTCCGTGGGGTAGGGGTGAAGAGATGTTTCTGCTGGGCACCCTGAGAGCTCTGTCCTTCTGTCGGTCCCTGAGGAATGCAAAAACTACCTGGACAATAACTAGGCCTGTGCTATGGGTAGATGATTCTTTCCAGTATTTCACAAATTCCATGGACACCTTCCTGGGACACATCTCTTACATTAACTTTCTTTGAGAATGAAATGGCTTAGAACTTGTAGCGTTAGATGGTAGTAGACACTTTACACTAAAAAACAGGAAGGAAAAGTCACCGAGTCAAAGAGAACATTTTTTATAAGTAGTGCTAGCATTCATACCTTAGGATTACTTAATATTTTTTTCCTCATTTTGGTCCAGACTTGTGATTTCGTCTGTCTTGGAAACTCTTGGTGTTGAAACTTCTCCATGCAGATAGGGAATCTGTCTGTTTCTTAGTCTTGGTGAGTTGACTGAAGTGCCAAGAGGTTGTGACTCCCCACCCCCAAACCCCAACTAATATGTTTTCATTAGTATTGGACTTGAAACTAGGATTTCCTGGCTCTAAGGGACTGGAAGAAGGGGGTGGGGGGAGGAGAAGAGATGGGAAAGGGAACGAGCATTTTTTGACCACTATGTTAGAGGCACTCTGTAAAAATAGCACTTTACAAATGTTACTTCATTTGATCCTCTCAACAACCCTAGGAAGTAGATGCTATGATTCTCCCATTTTAATGGTTGAAGAAACTGAAGCAGGCAGAGGTTAAGTGTCTTTCCCAGGATCACATAACTAAGGTCTGAGACCTGGTTTGAGCTCAGGTTTTTCTGACTAATCCCAGTGCTCTATCTACTGCAACACCTGGCTTATCCAATGGGGCTTGGACATGCTGCCTTAGTATTATTATAATTACTGCTTTGGGAATCTCCTTTATTAGATGATGGTACATTCAACAATTGAGTCACCTTTATTGGCCATTGGTTTTTCTGATTTTGTAAGCCTGTCTACCTTTCCCCTGGCCCTGGAGCCTTTTAAAGTGTGGAAACGGGTTGTCAAGACCCTCTTTTCTACAGAAAGAAGATGTAGGGGGAACACAAGAGCCTTCTTTAAGTATCTGAAAAGCTGTCATGTGAAAAGAGAACAAACGTGTACATAGGGCAGAATCAGCCGCAATGAGTGAAGGTTGATGGGGGTAAATTAGAACTGCCCCAAAATGGAATGAGCAGCCTTGGAAATACTCAGTTCCCCATCATTGGAGGTCTTCAAGCAAAGGCTGGAAGGCTGCTTGGTAAGGATGTTGTAGATTCTTGTTCTGGTACAAACTAGAAAGACTGACCTCTAAGGTCCCTTACAATAATCACAAAAAGAACATCAATAATTTTAATAGTATTCCACAATCCTGTATTCCAGCAGTGCGAAGTTTGTTTTTCCCCTCCTACTGGAAGGCCATGCTCACCTAACTTTTGTGAAACTGGCAAGATATTAACTTCATAATTTTAGCAAAAGAAATAATATGAGTCACTTGTACCAATTAAGTTTCATCCCAGTATGGATAAGAGCCACCAAGGACTTATATATATAAATATGTGTATCATGGCTTTAGTCTATGCCTAGAGAACCATGTGTGTACACAAATGTATAGTGACTCAAAGCTACCACTATCATATGAGTCCATGCTTATGTTGAAAGCAAACCTGGTGGCTGTATACCCAAGAGGATTCTAATTTCACAAGGTTCCTAAAATGCAGATTTATTTTTGCTCTACCATACACCGGCCATTTTAGTTCACACTATATTAATATATCCTTCACTTCCCTGTCCTCTGCTTCTTCCTCTTCTCTCCCTCCCCCCCATTGAAGTGAATCATGTGTCCATTGTCCCAGGCGCCATTTTGCTCCAGGGAAAAAAAAGTCCTAGTTAGAGCTTCTGTAGGGGCAATTTCAGTATGTGTTTGTGGGAGAGTAAACCAAAGGTCAATAGGGGTCATGTTTTCCTACTACTAGTTCATGCTATGACATTTCAGTAAATGCCTTTTCTTCAAAGTAATTGTTTCAAATGGTTTACTATTAAAGGTGAATGTGACAGTGGGGGCTCATCAGCCATAGTTTTAGGAGTATAGACCCACAGAGTACTTTAAACTTGGTTCCCTCAGAAAATCCAAACTGCAAGTACAAATTTGGGTATGGGGAAGCTTAGAGGAAATGCTACAGATATTATCAGATTATGGTTTAAATCTATAATCAGTCTTTTAGAATCCACCAAACTTTTACTCATTTAAGTGCAAAGGGTAGCAGCATGTATACTATCAAGTATCTAGAGGGATAATGTGGTCTTGAGGCAAGAGAACTGGAGTCTGGAAAAGCCTGAGTCCTGGGTTCTTTATCCCATTTGCAAGACATTAATTGCTTGAGCATAAACTAGACCCTTTCCTGCTTGAACCATTAGGAAAGTGCTGTCTTTGCAGAGATATTGTCTGGATTCAAATCCCTTTTCTGCCAGTTTATCTGTGAGACTTGAGTGTATCACTTTCCCTGGGTCTCAGATAATGAAGGGATTGAACTTAATAACCTTTGAGGTTAGAGTTAGTATTACATCTCTAAATCTATGATCCTATGTTTTTACACCAAGGGAAAACAGTTAGAGGAAAGAAAACAATTAAAGATGCAAGAGAGGGAAATGTGATGGAAAAGTTCCCAGAGGAATCTTGAGGGAGTGGGATCAAGAATACAAGGGAAGGGTTTGTCTTGGGAAGGAGAAGGTTTATTTTTCCTTCTGAGGCAGAAAGGAAGAAGAGAAAGACAAACAAAGATAGAGAACTTCTTGAGTTAGAGAAGAGGGAAGTCCAGGGAATTCATACTTGACCTCATTAGGTTAAGGATCGCCTTCTTCATTAAGCTATATAGTCAATCCCTAATTTATAAATGGGTCATGTTACAAATGTTCATTTGTAAATCAAGTTGTTTGGCACGTTTCCATTCACAAGAAAAAATATTATAAAGAGTAGCTGAGTAATGAAATAATATATAGTAATGAATTTTGAAAACTTTAAAACACCATATAAATGTTTATTATTACTGTCTAAAAACATTTAAATCATAATTTAATTGAACTAGAGTAGTACAGAATTTATAACATTATATTCTTTTATTTGAAAACTTTATACAATTATTGCTATGTAAAAACTGAATTAAAGGTCCAACATGGGATGTTAGGAATATATAATATATGTCCCTCTGATGCAATTCCATATGCATGCACTAACCTATCCTCTCATGTTCAAGCTGTGTCTTCTGATGGGGACTCAGCACATTCCATTTGTAGCAGAAGGGGAGTAGGAAAGACTAAGAGGGTTCCGGGTATTCTCCAACTAAGACAGTAAGGGGTCTGAGATCCTGGGGAGATCCAAAAGCACTGGGAAGGGCATAAGAACTGACATAAGAACTGACACTTGGAGATTTGTGAAGCATCTTACAGCTCATCAGATCCTCATAGCAACCTCATGTGCCAGTATTATGGATATTATTACTGTCCCTTCCCTTTTATAGATGAAGAAACTGAGATTTCATACAAGTTCATAGACCATGCCTTGCCGATGGTCAAGTCTCCTCTGACTCTACACATTGCTCCTTCTACTATGCCACACTGCCTCTTTGGGGGCTACAGTGAGGAGGTGACAGTCCGTATTGGATTAAGTCCCTGCTATCTGCCAGGCACCACACTAAGTACTGGGGATACAAGACAAAAATGATACAGTCCCTGCTTCAAGGACCTCACTTAGATATACCTAAGTAGGGACCTCTTATATTTAAGTTAGCTTTTCTTTCATTTGCTCATTTTTTATTTTTGCAAGGTTTGTAGATGAAGGTAGGAAAGGGAACAGCATCCAGAATGTGAAATCTCTTAGACTCATACTGATTAAGCTTGATTCCTATGTAGATAAGAGTCGTGAAAGACTTGACTGATAAAGCCAAGTATCATGGCTTTAGTCTGTATCTGTAGAGAATCATGTACATACACAGGTACATAGTAACCCAAAGTCACCATTATCACATGAGTCTGTGCTTATACTGGGAATACTTTGGAAACCAAACCTGGTGGCTGTGTATCCAAGTAGATTCTAATGCCACAAGGTTCCTAAAATGCAGATTCCCCCTCCTCCCACCAACACCTGTCATTTTAGTTCACACTATATGTAATATCTTTCACCTCACTTCTTCATTCTCACCTTTCCCCCACTTCCTTTCTCCCACACCCTCAGAGAGAGCTCCAGGTGAGTGTATTTGACACAAGTACCACATACCATCTCCTTGATTATTGTTGTTTCTGTAGCCTGTGCTATATATAGCAAAGTACACAGCTAAATTTGTTCTAAATAATTTATTAAGCAATTGTCACACAAATGAATTTTTTTTTTTGGCTTTGAGCAGTGATTCACTTTTTATTCTGTCATTACTGGAGGGGAAGGGGGAGTCTGAATTAACCTGAAGCTCCAACTTCAAATATAATTAATATCGTGAAGTGTTACAAGACATGCTGTGTATTTTAATTGTTTGATCAATTAAAACAGAAAGGAAAATTCCTCAGATAGCACCTTTTCAGAGAAGTGATATCTATGTATATTTTCAAGACTTGAATGACAATATAGTTAAGCAAAAAAGTTTCATAACAGAAAAAACTCCACAAATCCAAGATTTTCCAGGAACACCCTTCAAAGAAGAGAAGTAGTTAGTCTCACCTCTGCCCACCAGCTGGACAGCATGAAGTACGTGTTAACATTTTCCTCTCCAAACTGTTCGGCCACATAGAGTCCCAGGGACCCATACTTATCATAGATATTTTTCTTTGTCAAATCTGTCAATATAGTGTGAGCATTGTTGATCTCTTTAAACTTCTCAGCAGCCTCAGGATTATCTGGATTCTTGTCCGGATGGTGTTTCAGAGCCAATTTTCTTAAAAATGAAAAAGAAAGAAGCAAAAGTTCTGTTTGACCAGAGCCAAATCATAAATGGTCTATTTAAACGAAATGGTTTACATGATTGCACATGTATAACCTGTATCTGAATTGCTTGCCATCTCAGGAAAGGGAGAGGGAAGGAAGCGAGGGATAGAATTTGGAACTTAAAACAAAAAAAAAATTTAAAAATTGTTTTAATATGTAGTTGGGGAAAAATAACATTATTTTTTAAAAATAGTGTATTTAGACAGTGTGGTCCAAATCTACAGATAGCATTTGATGGTAAACTATATGGGCAAGGTAGTATAATAGTACTACTGTTGATATAATGCTTTTAAAGCTTACAAAATGTTTTACATTTTATATATATATATATACATATATATATATAAAATCTCATTTGATCTTTATAACAATCTTTTGAGGAAGGTGCTATTATTATGCCCATTTTACAGATAAGGAAACTGAGGCTGAGAGAGGTTAAATGACTAAACAATCATAGAGTTAGAAGAAATCTTAGAAAGCCATCTAGTCCAAACCAACATCACATAGCTAGTAAGTGTCTGAGGTTAAATTTGAACTCAGGTCCTCCTGACTCCAGGGCTGGTGCTCTATCCACTGTGCCACCTAGTTGCCCCTTGTCAGTATTCACCTTTCTATCCTTATTATCCACATATTGCCCATAGAGAGCCTGAGGGGAGGCAGCATGGTACAGTGGACAGAACATTTCCTCTAAACCCAGAGAACTTGGGTTCATATCCTTCCTCAAATACTTGTGGACCATCGCTCAATGTCTTCAGCCTCTCAGGTCCTTTCCGCTCTATATCCGTGATTCCCTGTATTACAAGGACGGGGAAGAAGAGGACAAGCATATTGTGAGGGATTACTAGGTGTCGGGCATAGCGTCTCATTTGATCCTAACCAGCACACCCTGTGAGGTAGATATAGTTATTATCCCCATTTTATAGGTGAGGAAATTGAGGCAAACAGAGGTTAAATGACTTTGCCAGTGACACAGCTAGTGCCTGAGACCGACTCTGTCCACTGCCTAGCTAGCTGCCTTGGGAAGGAAAGGTGTCAGACCTCATGGGTGTTAAAGGAGTCAGGGATAAAACCCAAGTCCTTGGCTCTAAGTCTAGATCCCCACCCCCAATATAAGTCACAGAACGACCACTTCCTTCATGCATAGGGTGTCCCAAGTTCTAGGGAGGGTCGAGAGCACATTTCTCCTGCTATCTCCCCGTGTGCTCCCCTTCATGAAAGTGTTTTCTAAAAGATTAATCAATAGCCTCCCAAAAGACCATTCTGCTATTCATCCAGCACAGCTGGAGCCAGGTTTATGTTGGAGGACATGACCTCAAATGAAATGGTGTCCCAACACTATGATACAATCAGCTGCTTCAACCAACAGTTAATTTGGGGAAAAATACATCTGCCAAACCAGGTTCTACATAGCATGCAGCCACACACAAGGGGATGGTTCAGGCTGTATTTTCTTTTTAGTCAGTAATATCATCATCCTGAAGATGCTACCTAAATCTAAGCTCAGTGGAGCTATCTCTGACTCTGATCCCTGGACTAGTGCTAACCTCCCACCATCTTTAATTCCACAAGCCACTCCTCCAGATTAGCTGACCTCCAGATTCTTGTCTTCCTACAAACTCAAGTGCTTTCTCAAGAAGGTCAAATGAATGACTTTCCTCTCTTCTTTTCTTTTGCTGGCAGCATGGTTGCTGGTACCATACTTGTTCCTGGTAATTAATATACGGCACAAAATCCTGTGATTTTTGTTCTTAAAAATTTATAAATATGCATAGAGCCAAAGGCAGTATATTTATTTGTAAACGCAAAACACAAAATGAAGAAGGCTGGTTGAGAGGCCTGTTGTGTGAAATGCACCATTTTGGTAACAATACAAAACCATGTTCTAGTTTACTCGTGATGAAAAATGCTTTCCAGCTGGCAAACAGCTGGGGTGAGCAACGGGGCTTCCTTTTACCTTTCGACTCTTGAGAGCACTGCTGTTGTGTTCATGGCAAGCCACTCAATCAATTTCTGTTGAAATTGAATTTGTAGAATTTTGCAGTGATTTTGCTGCATTTGAATTGATTACAATTCTTTGAAAAACAGGTATTGGATTGGATTATCCCTGTTTTCTTAGCTATTCCAGTTCAATTCCATTCAATTCAACAAATATTTATAAGGCACCTACTGTGACCATAGCCAGTGCTAGGAGCAGGGGGAGATAAAAAGTTTAGAAAAAACAAAGTCCTTGCCTTCATGGAGCTTATGGTCTAGTATGGGGATATGATAGACATAGATAATTAAAATATAAAATAATGCATGATAGATCTAAACATTAAACACGTGGAAATAAAGCAGGTCCAAGGGAGCAAGCATAATTAATAACATTTTGCCTTTTAATCCTGAATACATTGCTGTTCCTTGGGACCAAGCAATAACCCATGTGTTATTAGTTGCTTGTCATTGTACACTTGCAGAGTATTGCCCTCAGAATTGCAGCATCTCAGAATTAGAAGGGGCTTCAAAACTCATCTAGTCTAACCCAAACCTAAATAAAAATCACTTTTATGATTGTCATCTAGGTCTTGATTAGTGCTAATAATGAATCTTGTTAGGTGTCTGCATTATTCAAATTTGCATTATTCATAGTTATGATTACATAATAATATATAATGTAAAAAATGTAAAAATACAATGCAAAAAGTGCTTTACATAAAATTATCCTATTTGATCCTTACATTGTTTGTAATTGGTCCCAACCCAATGGAAATATGCATTGAAAAATTTTTTAAATAAGTTTTAAAATTTTTTTTATTAATGTAACAACACCAAAAGATTAAAAGTATATATTTCTGATTCAAGCTTATGAAAAAGTAATAAATTTTTTAAAAAAATTAAATGACTGAATAGTGTCCTTAAAGATAAGCCTACATTGATAAAATGATGATATGATAACATTGCTTTTGTTGTTGTTGCTTAGCGGCACAAACCAAACTTTCTCTTTCTTTAAATATTCATACATATACTGGTTGGTGCAGATAGCTTTATTCACATCTCAGCAAATTTGCATGCTCACATTCTGACACAATGCACCAAGTATAGTTGGATGACCTGAGGCATTATCTAGAATCAGTAATGCTTTAAGTGTAATATTGTTATTGCTGCCATATTGTTCAACATTTGGGCTAAAATAAAGAAAATCATTCTTCAGAAACAGCCTCAGTCACCCATGCTTCCTTATTTGTTCTCAAAAGAACTGGAAGCGATTGTTGTTGTAGCCTTTCAAAGAGTAAAGATTTCAAGGCAGATAAACATCGTTTTAATTTAAAATCCCCTTCTCTATTATCTCCCAATAAAAGTATTAGGTGATCTTTAGATGCTTTAAATTCAGGTTGAGTGTTTTTCTTTCTTAGAAATATAAATTCTAGAACGCATAATTTCCCAGACTAAGCCTGTTTCATCAACATTAAAAAATTTTAATCAGTGTTTCTGCCTTCTTCGATTATTTTCCTCAAAACATCAGGATATTTAGCTGCCTTGTCCTTAACCTGAATTGGCCACCTCTGGTGTATTAATGGCAGTATTTCCTCTGGTTGGTTTCAGGGCTCTGTAGACCAAGCAAAGCAAATACAAGGCATACGGCCTGTTCTTTAAAAGAATTTAGATCCCTACCCAACTCCTTGATATATGTATATATATATATGTGTGTGTGTGTGTGTGTGTGTATATATATATATATATGTATATAAGTTTGTGTGTGTGTGTGTGTGTATACACACACACACACACCTCTCCTTCTTATGGCTCGGCTATAGGCTGACATGCAATTCAAAAGTCTAACAGAGTGTCGGCTTTCCTTCACTGTTTTGTTTTTGGTAGGCAGTGGGGTTTAGTCACTTGCTCAGGGTCACACAGCTAGTAAGTGTTATGTGTCTGAGATCGAATTTGAACTCAGGTCCTCCTGCATCCAGGGTCAGTACTCTATCCACTGAACCACCTAGCTGCCCCTTTCCTTCACTTTTTAAACACTGTTTGGATCTCTGCCAGCTCAAAATGCAGAGAAATTCATTCTCATTTGGTTTCTCATGTTCTTCTAAATACAGAGTTGGAGAAAAAAGAAAGAATGGAGGGACTGATCTTGAACCAACCCTATTTCCCCTCACTAGCAGCACTCTGAGACCTCCTGGCAGGCAACTGGACTTTGGGACCTCCATAGAAAAATTTCCTCCACAGGAGATCAGGCTAACAGAAATACTTGTTAAGGATCCCCACATCTTTTTTTTTTTTTAACTTTTTAAAGTTCAGGTCTACAATTTCCTTTGTGTGAGGAGTTCCTAGTACGGAAACTCCCTTCACCAATGCCAATCTGTAACTTAAAGTCTTAAGAGAGTTGCCATGGAGGTGGGCAGTGAGAGTTGCCCAGGTCACATAGTCTGTCTGTGAAGATGGAAAATAAGTAGGCATATTTAGTGAGAAGAAAATGTCTTGAATCAAACTTCACTTTGACAAATTGCCATTGAGGGCTGAAGATCCTTTTTTTCAACAGATTCCCTATAGTGAAGTCAGCAGGGAGGAATTGCTGAGGCAAAAGGCAACCTTCTACTTAAGATTCTAAGTGTTTATGCCCTTAACTACTGCACTGATCTGGGCTGACTAAAGCTGGCATCTTGTTTGCAGTTACTACATACTTCTCCCCTTATTTCTCCTTCCAAAATTCAGAGAAGCTATGAAATTACACATGAAAGCCAGTGATTTGGAGCCCAGTGTTGTATTGAGGCTACAGTTGTGACTATTTGTTTTCCTGCTATGGACAACTGTTAAGAACGCTAGTCTTCTGCCTGAGTGCTCCCTTATTTTCTCACCTTCACTCTAAATTCTGAACTCCTATCTCCATCCACACTGATTGAACTCTGAACTGTGTTCCCAACCCCTAGGTCAGACCTTTTTTCCCTTGGAACAAGAGTGACAGAG